GTAATAAAATTTGTTGACCGGGTCGCAACCCTCCTCAACATACAAAAGAATATACTGCAGATTACAAAAAATAAAAGTTAGTTCTAAATAATATCACAAGAAATCTGCTCTTTCTAGGCTAGACAAAAATCTGATCTAAACAGTTAGACAAAACACAGGCAATGCCTTAGACAGACAAAAGCCAGTATTTGTGACTGATAATGCAAGTTCGATACAGGTTGAGCCGTTCCACATGATACTACTGCTTCGACAATAAGAAAGTGAGAGCCGTAAAAGCCAGGAAGATAATAAATCTACTTACCTTCCCATCTTCTGTAACATCGGCTTCAAACAAGGATTTAGGATTTTCAGAATCCTTCCAGCATAATATGTCTTCTGATTGATCTGTGCCCACAAAATGATAGTATAACTCATGATAAAGATTCACGTCGGTCTCTGTCCCAGCATCAACATCTTTTCCTTCTCTGCAGAACAAATCAGCAGGCAAATTATTTAATTTCACTATATTGCATAGCTTTTACAGTCGCCGAATATCAAATTAAATCTAAGATATCTATCCACTGCCCTAATAGTAATCTCTAAAAATTCCAATTCTTTTCTCTGTAACATCAAACTGCATTCCTACACTCGCAGCCCAAACTTAAGGACAGCAGAGCCTTGCAGTAGCCATTTAACCATCTATAGATCTTCCCGAATGAAGTAAAACAACAATGTACACCAATTCTGTCCTCACATTTAGTCATTAATTTGTTACAACTGAAGTTTCAAACTAACAACCATTCTGATTATATAACCGCATCAAATCCACATGTCACAATTCAAAGTAAAGAATAAATACACCTATTGCTACTTACTTAGGAGCTGGATAGCGGCTGTAGAAAAACCCTTTATGATCATGTGTCCAGCTAATAACCGAAAACTTGACCTGGAAACCAACATTGATAAAAAATCGTAAACTCAGAATAACAAATGGTTTCACTGATAACACTTGTTTCTGAGTACATCGAAGCATGCATAAACTCAGCACTTACCCAAGATATAGTTTCAGGTTCAACCGTCTTATCCTCAACCCGCATCACCTTAATCGTTGCCCAATCACTGCCACTTGTACTAAGGGCATAGGCCAAGTACTTGGCGTCCTCGCTTACTGCAGAAGCGTTCAAAGATACAGTCCCATCTTCGCTAAGCGTATTGGGATCAAGCAACACCTCTGCTTTTCCATCCAAACTATCCTAAAATCACAAATAAACCACCTAAAAAGCACATACAAAGAAAGAGAAAAAAAACAGACGATTATATCGAATGAATGAATGTATATGCACTTGAGGATCAAATTCTGAGGCAAAGGGCATACCTGCACGTATAGGACACTTTGGGGTTGAAGCCCAGTGTTGTGGAAGTAGAAGTACTTATTCCCTCGCTTACGAGGTGCATCATAACGCGGGTGATCGAAAAGCTTGGTGATCTTCTCGCCAAGCTTCCCTCTCGTATCGCATTCCTTCAGAACCGACTGCGTCAGTTCTACTTGTTTCTGTACGAACTCTTTCGTCTCTTCGGAGTCGGGATCTTCAAGCCTAAACGATTAAAAAAAAAAAAAAAAAAAAGTCAATATAACTTCTTTGGAAAAAAACAAAAAGGCGACTAAATTCTTCAACCATAACATAGTGGAATTGCTTGTATCACCATCTGTAAGGATCGGCGACCTTGACGCCGTGATAGTCGTCGACGACGGACTCGTCTCGGCGAGCGGTAGGGTACTGCAAGGGGACGTCTATGGCACAGAGGGAACCCATTGCGTTCGTGTTTCTAGGTTTTGGGAGAGCGGAGGAGGAGGACAGAGAGAGCGAACTGGGATTGATTTGAGACTGAGATTGGCTGAAGGTAGTGGTGTTCTTATAGACGAAGACGTGCATATGAAAGGGAAGGTGCTAAAACATTGTTTGCGGACAAAGGTAAGTGGCATGTCGAGAGTATGACAACATTGTCTGCGCCCAACGCTTGCGTTGGAGCGCGATCTTTCAATGTTTGTGCTGAAGTGTCCTCATTATGTGTTGGTTTATGTCGCCATAATTTGGACTGATACCCTTTCAAACAAAATATCTCCCAAAGTGATATTCGGTGATTAAGATTTATTTTGGATACATTACTTATATAATACTTATATGTATTTAATACAATCATCATTTTAACGTTTAAATAATGATGGTATTACATACAATATTCATATAAAATATAATTAACCATTAAATATATGTAAATGTTGTAGTCAATTCTCAATTCATAATCTTTTTTTATAAAACAATATTTGGACCTCCTACTTATAAATAGAGAGGAATGCAATAATTGAGCCGAAATTAGTTGAATATTTTATTTTCAAGTATTCAACCACTTGTACTATCACAACACGTCCCGAAATAAATTATCGATTACGTGAGTTGACCATTTTACCCTTGGACGTGAGTGTGGTGGTGTGTAATATGCATGTTAGTGGTGGTCCAAACTTACATTTTCCTTCATTTTTGGACCAAATTAGAACTTAGTTTTTTGTGGTTCTGGTTGGTGACCCACGTGGACCACTCACACACACAAAAACTCTTCCTTTCTCTTCTCTCCCGTGCTCTCTCTCCCTCGGACTCACTCTTTCTCCTTCCCTCACGTACAGATCAACAACAACACTAGTGGAAAGTTGCAAATCGAGGGTTTAAAGGACACCATCGTGTTCCTGAGGTTCGTACGAGTTGAATGGTACAATTTTTAGGTAAGAACTCCTTCGAAAACCCTAGTTTCTCTTAAACTCCGATTTATGTACTATTCATGCAATCGTAAAATCTCGTGTTTTTTGGGATTCCAAGCTTATAGGCAGCTTAAGGAGGTCCTCACGAGGCTATGAATGGTTCGTTGGAAAATTTTGGACGTCGGACTATCGAGAATCACGAGTTTTAAGAATTATCGGAATATCGAGGCTTTTTCCGGTGGTTTCAGGGCTCGACACAGGTATGGTTTTGTTCGTCTTGGTGAGATCTTCAAAATGGTTTAAGTTTCATGAAGTTTGGTGTTAAAACATGAGAGATATAAGGTTTGAAATTAAACCCATAAACCGGCGAAGTCACTTGCGTCCGGCGACTCGTCGGAGAAGATGAGGGTATATTCCGTCAGTTTTGACAGAATATGCTAACGGCGTTAGATGACGCCGTTAATAATTGACGGAATATGTTTGTTTTTGGATGGAATATTCCCTAACGCCGTTAAGGTTACCGTCAATGTGCTTGGCACGTGGGTGGTCGGAAATTTTTTCTAAAAATATGGGGATGTTCGTGAGGTTGTGTAGATCACGTTGGTATATTCAAACATCTCATTTGAGCAATGTATGAGAAGTTATTAGCTAGTATTGGTTATGTGCTTTAAATTAATGTTTTTATAGTTATTTTGCAGATAGGGGAGGCTTATCCCGAGGACGAGCGCAGTCAAGGGCGACTTGGGGGCTACGACCCTTCGACATACCAGTGAGTGAGCTTTTGGTTTTCATACTTATATACTTGATATTTTCCCAGAAAATGCGTTTAAATGAAAGTATGCCTTGAAATGTCATGCATATAAATTTATATTCTGTATATGAGTTGATACATGATGCATAATATATAATTGTGGTGCTGTGTACGCTCAGGTAAGCCCATGTGAGTTTATGAATTGTGAATATGAATAACGGTTGTGATTAATTGAGAAACATTGAGCTCATAAACTTGCACCTAGGGTGATTGTGATTTAGCTAGAGATAGAGTACATGCCTGTTATTAATGTCACCTCCCGCACTATATGCTCATATTGGATCCAATTTAGGTGCACAGTCTTGTTGTACAGGCCATCATAAATGGTTCTGACTCGTAGGTGACTAGCGATTTATCGCCCAGCTATCATGAGAGAGTAGTATTGAGCATAATTATATTACACCCAGTCTTGTCGTACATACCCATTTTTAGTGGTTCCGACTTATGTGCAGTGTAGTGTCGTATAGGTCATTATAGTGACTCTGGCTAGATTGACTAATGAGCTATGAATTCAGCCGTACAGACTTCTACAGAGGTTCCGGCTAATATGTTATTTTCCATGAATTTATTCTCACCTGAATTACTTATTCTGTTATATTTTGGCATGTCATACTTACGATTATGAATACGTGAAGCATGATTGAATATATTTATGCATATGTTTATATTCTATTTCTGGGAAAATTATACATGCTTTACAGCGAGGGGTTATAACTTTTGAGAAATGAAATGGTTTTGTAAAACAATTGTTTTTGCCCACTCACGTTTTCTGTTTTGCGCCCCTCTAGGTTTTAGGTAAACTTCCTGTTGGTGGCATCAAGGATTTCGGCGGTTCTAACATAATAAAATATTTGTAGGACATCTTCTGGTACTGTATAATTAGTACTTGTCCTACTGGATTGCACCTAGAGTTTCTATGCTCTCATTAGGAGTATTTACTTTTGTATCTCACTCCTAACACTTCCTGTTTATTAGTGCACCTTAGTAGCTTTCGATGTTTATTTATTTGTATAACTCTTATCTTTATTGTTTCCGCACTGTGCACACGGCTACGTCATCTTCACGTGACGGCCAGCATGCCTCGATCTCGGTCGGAACGTGTCATGTACTATACCACTTGGTGTACCAAACAATATTTATAACACATTAAAATATCTCTCCAAAATTCACTATTTTATTTTATTTATTAGTGATTCGAGAAACACAACCAAATTAAACCATTATTAGCAACCTGCAAATCACCTAAGATAATTCAATCCGTACCCCAAAACAAATGCAATTTACGACCCTCACCTAAACCAATTGCCAACTTATACATCACTAACTAATTTACCACAAAAAAATAAAAAACAAAGGATAGTATGTATATGTCAGATCCAAATATATAAATAAAAAGAAACAAACCATAAAAAAATAAATAGAAAGCAACCCAGCTCTGTCTCCTAGGTGGGACCGCAAACATCACTTGTAGAAAGCTGTAAAGGTTGACGTATAAATTATCGCTAATCTTTTGATAGAGACAGTGTGATTTTTTTTTATGGGGGGTTTGAATTTCCTTGATCGATGGGGAGCATCGGCGTCTCGACCGAGGATGATGAGTTGGAGCAGTTGAGCGAGCGCTTCGACGGTTACAGCTTGAGTGCCGACGTCAGCGAGTCCGAAAGCTCCAGTGGCTTTTCCTGTCGGCAGTACGGTCGCCAAGCTCCTGCTGCTTCCGCTTCTCTCACTTCTTTGCCTCCATCTGGACCCGACTTCGCTGACATTTTTTATTCTCAGCGGCCGCCCATGCAGTTTGTTTTGCCGGCGGTAGGTGGACAACATGTCGTCCTTCCGCCGTCTATGACGGAGAAACCCCGGACCAAGTTGTCCGGTTAGTGTGTTTTACTTTAGAAATGTTTGCTATTTTACTTTGGAATGTTTGTAGTGCAAAAATTTGGAAAATTTCCGGTCATTATTAGTTCATGTGGATAGTACAAAGAATTGAGCTTTCTAAATTCAGGCAAGTAATTAGCGTAGGATTTGAAGTTTCAGATAGAACTATATGTAATGCAAGGAAATGGGGGGAAACAGTTGCAATTGCAGTGTAAATCGAGCTATTTAAATCCACGCAAGTAATTGGTATAGCATTTTAAGGCTTAGAACTTGTATGTCGGTCTCTATTTTTCGCTGTGGGCGAAGAGAAAAAAAAAAGAATGAAGCTTTGCTGGAGTGCAACTGCAAATTAGACGTTTGTATACTACCATTTATAATTGTGCTATCTGCAGAAGTTGAATTGATGAAGGAGCGGTTTGCAAAGCTTCTGCTCGGAGAAGATATGTCCGGCGGAGGCAAGGGAGTCTGAGATTGGCAGAAGGCAGTGGTGTTCTTATAGACGACGACGTGCATATGAAGGGGAAGGTGCTAAAACATTGTTTGCGGACAAAGGCAAGTGGAATGTCGAGCCTATGACGACATTGTTGGACTTGGATTGTCTACCCTCCCATTTAGGTGCTCTTCCCGTACCCTCATGTTTTATGTGGTCATGATTAAGCCACGTTAATATTTTATATTATTTTTTATAAAAATAATAAAACAAAAAAAAATAGTAATATAAAATGTTGACGTGGTTTAACCGTGACCACAAAAACAGGAGAACACGAGGAGGGCACAGAAATTGGAGGGCAGACAATCCAAGTCCGACATTGTTTGCACCCAACGCTTGCGTTGGAGAGCGATCTTTCAATGTTTGTGCTGGAGTGTCTTCATTATGTGTTGGTTTATGTCGCCATAATTTTGACTGGAAGCCCATTTAAAAAAAATAGGGAAAATTTGAAAGAGATCTAATTTTATAGCCTATCTTTTGAAATAAGTTTAATTTTTAGTGATTTTTTACTTTTGAAATAGATCTAATTTTTAGTCTAATTGGATCCATATCAAAAGACCCCAAAAAAATATCATCCAAAGTGATATTAAGTTATTATGATTGGTTTTTACTACAATACTTATATGTATTTAATACAATTATCATTTCAACGTTCAAAAATAATTGTGTTAAATACAATATTCATATAAAATATAATTAACCATTTAATGATAATTAATATTAAATATATTTAAATGTTGTAGTCAATCCTCGATTCATAATCATTTTTTATACAACAATATTGGGACCTCCTCCTTATAGATAGAGAGGAATGCCATAATTGAGCCGAAATTAAATAATTGGGCCGGGTTTTGGGTGGCTTGAGGCCCAGAATCTTTGCCCTAGTATTAGTTAGTCAGATTTCTACCCAAGAAAGGAATCGGGGGCCCAGCACTTGTTAGGGATAAGATGGCCCATGGAATCATATTTTCACACAAGGATTCCATAAAGAAAATCTTAACTAACAAATGTTGATGAGCCAAGGAAATTGGAATTGGATTCCATTCGGATTCATTTAGTAAGGATTCTAGAAATCTCCATATTTTAGTTATTCATTGTGTATTATGCGGTCAAAAATTATTTAAATTATTTATTTAAAATTAAACACAAATAGTATTTAACGAAAACGGGTCGCATGATGTACAATGAACAGTCATGATGTAGGAATCCCTAGGATCCCCACAAAGTGGATCCGAAGAGGATCCATTTCCAAGGACATCTTCGTTAAGTTATAAAATAGAAAAACTAATGAAAATGGTTTGAAAACTTTGAGTTTTAACGATAAAGACAAAATATAGGGTAAAGTGAATAGTACCAAGATTAACTTTTTAGTGTAAAAATATGATTTTTTGTTAAAATAAATATACCGAGAGCTTTCGTTAAAGTTTCCTTATAAATTTACAAGTTGCACAAGTACCAAATTATTCGTAGATTACCTGCACAAGTACCAAATTATTCGTAGATTATTAATTAACTTCAATCACAATAGTGAAAAGCAAGTTTTCCTTAAACAATAGATGAAGCACGTCCACATTCAACTCATAATTTCGAGGAAAAAAATTCAATATGCCGGAAATAAGGTTCAGTACATAAAGTATCATGATATAAATAGTTGAATATTTTATTTCAAAGTATCCAACCATTTATACTACAGCACTTAGTGTACCAAACAGTATTTATGACACATTAAAATATCTCCCAAAATTTGCTATTTTATTTTATTTATTAGTGATTCCGAGAGAGACACAACCAAAATAAACCATTATTAGCAACCTGCAAATCACCTAAAATAATTCAATCCGTACCCCAAAACAAATGCAATTTACGACCCTCACCTAAACCAACTGCCAACTTATACATCGCTAACTAATTTACCACAAAAAAATAAAAAAACAAAAAATATTATGTATATGTAAGATCCAAATATATAAAATAAATTTAAAAAAAAGCAACAAACAATAAATAAAATAAATAGAAAGCAACCCAGCTCTGTCTCCTAGGTGGGACCGCAAACATCACTTATAGAAAGCTATAACGGTAGACGTATAAATTTAGCGCTAATCTTTTGATCTTTCCACTTTCCTGTCCTCGGCAAAGAGAGAGAGAGTACGAGACGGTGTGATTTTGTTTGTTGGGGGGTTTGAGTTTCCTTGATCGATGGGGAGCACCGGCGTCTCGTCCGAGGATGATGAGTTGGAGCAGTTGAGCGAGCGCTCCGACAATTACAGCTTGAGTGCCGACGTCAGTGAGTCCGAAAGCTCCAGTGGCTTTTCCTCTCGGCAGTACGGTCGCCAAGCTCCTGCTGCTTCCGCTTCTCTCACTTCTTCGCGTCCAACTGGACCCGACTTCGCTGACATTTGTAATTCTCAGCAGCCGCCCATGCAGTTTGTTTTGCCGGCGGTAGGTGGACGACGTGTCGTCCTTCCGCCGTCTATGACGGAGAAACCCCAGACCAAGTTGTCCGGTTAGTGTGTTTTACTTTAGAAATGTTTGCTATTTTACTTTGGAATGTTTGTAGTGCAAAAATTTGGAAAATTTCCGGTCGTTATTAGTTCATGTGGATAGTACAAAGAATTGAGCTTTCTAAATTCAGGCAAGTAATTAGTGCAGGACTTGAAGTGTTAGATAGATATGTAATGCAAGGAAATGGGGGAAAACAGTTGCAATTGCAGTGTAAAATTGAGCTATTTAAATCCACGCAAGTAATTGGTATAACATTTTAAGGCTTAGAACTTGTATGTCGGTCTCTGTTTTTCGCTCTGGGCGAAGAAAAAAAAAAGAATGAAGCTTTGCTGGAGTGCAACTGCAAATTAGACGTTTGTATACTACCATTTATAATTGTGCTATCTGCAGAAGTTGAATTGATGAAGGAGCGGTTTGCAAAGCTTCTGCTTGGAGAAGATATGTCCGGCGGAGGCAAGGGAGTCTGTACTGCGCTTGCTATTTCCAATGCAATCACAAATCTTTCTGGTTTGTACAAACTCTGGTCATCTTGGTTTGAATCCTTGCTTCCTTACAACTTCCCCCAAAACCCTTCTTACGGTTTTTAGTATTAAAAGACACATTGCTATACGTTCCCTTCAGTTGTCCAATTAGTTTTATGTCTTTTTCATTCGGTTTTATTGGCAGCCACCGTATTTGGGGAGTTGTGGAAGTTGGAGCCTCTGGCTCCCCAGAAGAAGGCAATGTGGTGCCGAGAGATGGATTGGCTTTTGTCTGTAAGTGATTCTATTGTTGAGCTCATACCATCAGTACAAGATTTCCCTGGTGGTGGGACCTTTGAGGTTATGGTCACTCGGCCACGCTCTGATCTGTATGTAAACCTCCCGGCACTCAAGAAACTGGATGCAATGCTGCTTAGCATTCTTGACGGATTCCACGATTCTGAGTTTTACTATGTTGACCGAGGAATAATTGTTCCTGATTCTGATGATGGTGCCTTGTCTCTCTCTTCCGGCAGACCATCTACTAGGCAAGAAGAGAAATGGTGGCTTCCATTCCCTAAGGTCCCCTCAAATGGTCTGTCGGAAAATGTCAGAAAGACTTTGCAACAGTGTCGGGAATGCACAAATCAGATCCTTAAGGCTGCAATGGCCATCAATAGTAGTGTGCTAGCTGAAATGGAAACCCCAGATGCTTACTTGGAGAGTTTACCCAAGGTAAGGAGAAATCTGTACTTTCATATCTATTCCTATGCATGATAAATCGTGTATGGGAATTAGATGTATGCAGAGATCAACGCATTATTTTCTTGTTACTTTTTTCAAAACCATATGGACTATAGTTGTTTTGAGGCTCAGTTAGTCTGATTTTCGACCATCGTTGTACTTTTCCAGATTGTCAAGATGTTATTCATATGTATTCGTGTTAGCTATCCAGTTAGGGGGCTAGGCATGATATGGCTAAGTTATGCTTGATGTTCATTTATCTGATTTATTACCATTTTTGTATGTTGACATCATTTTACTGATCTCAGAGTGGGAAAGCTTGTTTAGGCGAAATCATTTACCGTTTTATAGCTGCTGATCGGTTTTCCCCAGAATGTCTTCTTGATTACTTGGACCTCTCATCAGAATACACCACTCTAGAAATAGCAAACAGGATTGAGGCTGCCGCACACATTTGGAAGCAGAAGCATGTGAAACCCCATCTAACTCGTGTAAATTCTGCAAAGTCATCCTGGGGTGGAAAGGTCAAAGGCTTTGTCAGTGACATAGAAAAGAGTAAGCTTCTCGGATATAGGACGGATACCCTCTTACAGAATCTGAAGAGACGGTTCCCTGGCCTCCCACAGACTGCTCTGGACATGAACAAGATTCAGTACAACAGGGTACGCACCCAAAAAAACTTTATCATCTTTGCTCGAATATAAGGAAAGAATAGTTGGTCAAGCCCCTTGCTTGCTGTTTCTAACATTTTCTTTTCTGTCCCAAAGTATGATAAAAATTATTGAAACTGGAAGGTTACCAATTCAATGTTATATGCATGAGGAGTCTGAGTTTGAAAACGCATGTTATTGTCTTGTATTGTTGTTCTTTAGTCCGAAAATTATGCTGTGAATGTATTATAGTTCCCTTCATTCTAATCGAGAAAACTTAATTTCCCGTGTGCTGCACTGCAGGATGTGGGGCAGTCAATCCTTGAGAGCTACTCTAGGGTGATGGAACGCATAGCCTTCAACATAATGGCGAGGATAGATGATCTACTATACGTAGACGATGCCACCAAACAGCGGGCAGCTGCAGAGTCTATGTCCCTGTATGACCAGGGAAGGATTGGTGGCACATTGCCAAAACAGAAGCGGATATCACCCAGTCCCTTCTCAATTCACCGTACCTCTTCAATTACATTGCCAGCATTGGATCCTGCTGTGAATCAGATAGGTAGAAGCCCCGGTGGAAGGACACATAATAAACAAACAACGAAGAATAATTTCAGCGACGCGGTGGAAGACAAATTAGAAAAATTAATCTTCTGATGATGTTGAGATAATACGCTGACCAGCTTCCCTGTCCTATATAGCTAATTAAGGTTAGTATTTGATAAGCTGTGTTTTTTAACTCTATGATCCAATAATATAGCCAGAGAATCCAATGTGTTTAACCATGTTTAACGAACTAATGCAGTCACGATGACTGAGAAATGCCATGTCCAAGTGATACCATAAAATCTGCTGCAAAATTTGTTTCTTCAAATGCATGGACAAACAAAACTTAGTTAATTCAGACCCAAATAAAATATATTAATTATATGTTGCCAAAGCGAGTGAATGTCTCCAAAGGAAGAATCCACCGCCAAAGAGGCTGCCAAGGAACCTTTTTGTTTTTTTTGGGCGCAATAATGTGTTTAGGCAGGTCCAAATCACGTAACATGAAAGCCCAAACAAGTCCATTTACGTTTTTCAAGTACTTCAGCTAACGGAAGAAATACAAGACTGGGTACTCACCAGTCAGTACCCAAATAAAACTCTCCGCTTACATGATCAATAAAATAAAAAGAAAACTAATAAAAAATGCTTGAAAATTTTGAGTATTAACGATAAAGACAAAATAAAGGGTAAAGTGAATAGTACTATAATTGAATTTTTAATGTAAAATTATGATTTTTTGTTAAAATGAACAGTACTTAGAGCTTTTTGTTAAAATTCCCTACAATAAAAGCATTTGTCACTTTTATAATTGGGTAGTGTTATCAACGGTCAGGATTAATACAAAGATGAAAAATTATTAAAAAGGTAAAAAATAGAATTTCTTTATTATTCTACAAAGTTTACACTTAAATATATTTGTGAATTGTATTGCTATCGTTCTTGCTCTTACTCAACGAATAAAATCACACAAAAATAAATATTATTCAAAGTAAATAGTAAGAACAAGTTAGCTGCCTTGCCCTCCTTCAAAGGGTGAAAACTGCTCTTAAAGATATTGGGGGGGGCGGGGGAGAAGAGTTCACATGGCATGCAGTAAAGCTGGAAAGAGATTCGCCAACATCAGCATCAACATAAGCATCGTCATAGCCCTCATCATTCTTGGGTTGAAAACTAAAACACAGATATTTCTTCCACACCACATCTTCCCTAACCCTAACCAGTAAACCGACAACCAAACCAGCACCCCACAAACACCCTTTTCGTCTGTTAAAATAGTTTACTCTATAATATGAGTGATCCTGATTCCTTGTCCTTGATATGTATAAAAACAAAAGCAAACAAACCAGTCTCTCGTCGTCTCTCTTTTGCAAGCTTTTCAAAATTTAATTAATTAACAGGAGGGCCCTAAGGTGACATGCCTAATGGCTAATACGCGAGGAGACGCGAGACAATATGAAAGAAGAGAGAGAGCGGATCCACTAGAAAAGAAAAGAAAAGAAACATCCATAGCTCGCAGCCTCACACACAATCATGAGAGAAGGTGGATTATTCCAGTTCCACATGCATCGAGCTCATTTCATTTCTTTTGCTTTTTAAAATTGAACGACTAGTCAACCACATTTCAAAACAGTGCTGCATTTACTACATCATTTGACCTTTCATAAACTAAATATTAACTACTGTTTTATGCGGCTGAAATCATGAACAAATGTCTGTTGAGCAATTGCCTTTTGCTATATATGTTGCTATTGCAAATCGAAAAATTCGTCCCCACCAGGCACCAGCCCATAATTCCAGTGCCACCATCGATCCTAATATAAATGCACTTTTTCATAAAGGGAACAAAAGAACAGAAGCATGGATAAAAGTTTACACGTTAAGTTGCACACAGACAGAAAGAGTACAGGAAAGAAACAAAGCGCATGAACTTTTTTCAAGGCTGATAGTAGGAGGCATTAAACTAAAAGGCCGGAAAAGTTTACTCCAATCTGTTTATTTATCTGGAGTCTTGACATAAAAAGAATCGGTGGATTTCTCACGCCCGACGGATATAGTACACAATGTATAAAGTTTTGTATGCTTTGCCCTTAAAAATTAAGCCATATTATTAATATTTCATGTGTGTAACACTGTATCAATATATGATGCAACTCTCTATGAACATCAGCTAGAGAGAGATGTTGTACGAGAGAAAGAGATCATCTCCATATCTATACATCAAGAGCCCAAGAATTAAATGATCCGGGCTTTTAAAATTTGATCAAACGACTAAAAGCAGAAAAGTTAGTAAAAAATTTAAAAGCTACAATAATTTTTTACCGTATGATCAAATTTTAAAGCCGCAGATCATTTGATCCCTGGGTTCCGAACACATAGATCCGTAGAGGATCTCTTCCCTTGTATGAGAAAGAGATAAGGAGAGTTTCTTAAAAGTAGAACTCTCTATGTATCATAGTTTAATGTCAATTTCTGTACTAACATTTTAAAATATTGTGTTAAAAATATGAGGTGAAAAAGAATCTTTAGAGAGTTATTTTTCAGAGAATTTCCTCAACATTTCTCATATGAAAATTAACTTTAGTTAATTTAAACACGTGACGCCTTTGAATTATTTGATTATCCCTGCTCTTCATCTCCTATCTAGGCTTCTAGCAAATTTAAAGTAGGGGTGGATCTCAAACCGAAAATGGGATCTCAATTCCAAACCAAATATTTTCGGGACGGGATTTGAAAACCAATTCCGAACCAAAATTTCGGTATTATCAATTTTTGAGATTTGCGAAATGTTTTCGGTATTCCGATTGGGATTGGATTTTTGGTTATGGGCTTTTGGGTTTTTAGGTTGAAATTTGAGATTTTTTTAATGTGAGCTAAAATTTAGGCCTTGGGCCTAAAATTTTGTTCCACAATTTCATATCAATTGAAATTTAGAGTTTTTTTTACCTCATAATAATTTGAAATTTCATACAAATTCAATCATAGCAAGTCAAATTGATGTTTCAAAGTTCCAAACTACTTAATTTCATACTTCTATTTCTAATATAGTCTACTATCAAACTACTTAAATTCAACTTTTAACATGCATGCAACCAAAATAAATATTTTTATTTTTCGATTCGGTTCAGGATTCCCGAACCGTTGAATATGTAATCTCGATTCTCGTACCAAAAGGTTTGGGATTGGTTTAGTATGGATCCCGAAAATTTTAGTATCATTAGCTTGGAAATTTTTTGGTATGAGGTCGGAATTTTTTTTTTTAGTTTGAGATTTTTGGGAAAAATTTATAGCCGTAGTTTAAACAATAAATTAACCCTAGATTATTATAGCTAGAATAGCAAAATTGGACAAGGATTGTCTGCCCTCCTTGTTCCCGTGCCCTTCTGTTTTGTGTGGTCACGGTTAAGCCACGTCAACATTTTATATTATATTTTTTTATAGAGATAATAAGACAAAAATGAATAATAATATAAAATATTGACGTGACTTCACCGTGACCACACAAACAGAAGGGCACGGGAATAAGGATGGCAGACAATCCTTGTCCAACAAAATTTACTGTGAACTGATAAAGGAATTTTATTTGCCACAGCCATAAAATCTAGCCAAGCTATTAACTAAACACTTTTCACTCCAGGACAAGTACACCCGCACAGTACTATGTACTCAGTAAGTGGAAATTTTTCTTTATCACCGGAATACAAATTGGTACATTACATGTTAAGATATAAGTGAAGATAAGTTTTTCTTTACTTGCATTATGACACGTGGTGTACTGACCTGTGTTTCGGATACATAAAAAAATCTCTTCTCAATTAGTATGACTGGCAGTTCAATTAATTAATATTTACTAACTACAAAATTAATTAATATTCCTAATTACTTCAACATCTTTTGGCTTTTGGTCACCTAGCTAGGGTTTTGAGAAAAACTAATGTTGAGGGATGGATCGTTCGCTCTCTTCCCCAGATGATCAGTTATTATCTAAATTAGTATTGGTTTGTCTAAAGTTTAAACTTTAAAATTAAATCACTGACAATATCTTCTACGAAATGGAAAAACAAGCGTGAAGTGTGATTAAGTAATTTCATTGTCCCAATGATTCAATCATGGCTACTTCTGACAGAAACTCAGCCAGGACAACTGGTATGGACGCAGAGAGAAAGAGAAAGACTAATGGGACGGTGACAGGTCACATAAGTACAAGACATGTCAAATTCAATTTCAATTTTCAGTCGATGAACATTTATTCTACGCGGGAGTGGGATCCTAATTTCTTCACTCTGTTGTGTGTTTTTACTTCGGTATAGTTCCTTCCTTCGTTCCTTTGAATACTTTGAAACTGTGAAAATATTTATTGGGCACGGACCGTATAGTTGGGGAGTAGATTTCAATCAATAGGTAGTAGAGAAGGTTGGTCTATAGTAAATGCATGCGGGTTGCTAATTGCTAGGGAGATTTAACTTGTGGAAGTTTGCTCTTATAAATAAATAAAATAAAATAACTACATATTCAGCTAGCTGGGGAGTGATGAAGTGAGGAGAAGATGATGGCCTGGGAAGTGATTTTGATGACAGCGTATGGGTTGGGTTGTGGGTGTCATGAGTAGGACGTATCAATCGACAAAGAGGAAGTTTTATCGTCTGAAATTAACCTCTCAGAGACTACTGGAGACTACAAAATTAAAAAGCAAGCACTGCACATGATGCATAGCATACACGGTGGAATTATGAAAAGGAAGCACTAAAACTATTTACTGTATGGTGTAATAATTGGAGAGGATTGACCTAAAATTTACCTTTTCTTTCCATTGTCAAATGTAAAGTATATATACGTGTGTCACATATAGGTCAAAATGACCATATTTTTGTAGGAGGGAAATGATCATGGGGTACCTAGGATTCCAAACTTAGTGGTTTAGTAGGACCCTTCATCAATAAAACGAGGTTGTCCATTAAGCTTGTCGAGCTTGTCAATTAATTAAGCTTTAGTTCGAAATGCTTGGAGCTTTTTGCTGGTCAAATCTCAATGACAAATACAAATCCTGTGAAGCTTTTTATAGCATCACTCACCAATAGAATGATGTAAAATTTAACGAAATTTAGCTTGCTTTTTAGCTAGGAGAGTAATGTAAATAGAACGGATATGTCTTGTCGTAATCGTAGGATTTCGTATCTATTATACATCGTTATATAGATAAAAATTTACACATGCGCTATGACATGAGATAATTCAGAAAGTTAGTGCACCACGGGCACAATTAAGTAATGGTGGATGCATG